GACACAGTCCAGTTCGTAGCAGTGATATAGCTGTCCCTGGCTCCACAGAAAGAGATGAATGGGGTCTGTTTCTCTATCTTCTTGAATCTGGGCTGGACTTGTGAGTGGCTCCAGTCAATAGGATGTCACAGAAGTGACATTGTGTGGGTTCTGGGGTCTGTCCCTAAGGATAAGTCACAGCTTCTGATGTTGCCCACTTGGAACCTGAGACTGTGAGGAAGGCCGGACTGGCCTCCTGGGTGGGAGAGGGTCCCGGCCAGCAGCCAGCACTAGTGGCCAGGCAGCTGACTGAGGCCACCTGGGACCCTGCAGGCCCAGTGGAGCCATCCGGTGAGTGCCAGCACACAGATTCCAAAAAAAAGACCCGAAGAACCACCCTTCTGCCAACTCACCATATCGAAACAATCACTCATTGTTTCCTACCACTAAGTCCGGGGGTGGATTTTTACATAGCAACAGATAAGAAACCATGGCAGATGGCGACCTTTTGGTGGATTGTGAAATCACTTTGCTGGGGGCAAAACAGTCTAAAAAAAGAAGACAGAACAGAAAACGGAAGTGCACATTCCATACGGACGGCGTGTTCCGGTGAGCCGTGCTGTGCGGCGAACCACCCCAGAAGCGGGCGGTGAAGGACTCCCCGCGTGTCATCGTGCTGACAGTTTCACGGGGCAGAAGCCGGGACAGGGCACGGTGAGCGCGGCTCAGCTTTGTGTCCCACGGAGCCTCAGCTGGGGTGTCTGAAACGGTCGGCCCCGGCTCGGGTGAACGGACCACCTGGTTCTGCCTGCTGGGTCAGCGTCTCGGTTCCTCTCGCCGGTGGGGCTGGAATGGCCACACCGCTTTCTTCACTTACCCGTCTGGTCCCTCCAGTCTGACCGCAGGGACACATGGGACCTCGCCCTCCCGTCTATGTGGCGAGGTTCTGCTCCCTTCTAACAACATGGTGGCCTCGGAGCAGTTGAACTTCTTACTTGGTGGCCGGCTTCTTTCAGAGCAAGAGTCCCACAAAGCCTGAATGGAAGCTGCATGGCTTCTGATGACCGCGTTTCAGAGGTCCCCAAACATCACATCTGCTACATTCATTTGGCCCACGGGGTCGCTGAGGCCAGCCCAGGCTTAAGGGGGCGGGGCCAGAGCCCATCTCGCCACGGGAGCCATAGCAACGTGCGGCCCTGTGCTGTTTCCCATGTGCTGTATTTCACCAGGTCTCAGGTGTCCTTGCTCGCAAGACACGTCCTGACGCCACACATGGTGAAATGTGAAACGGGGCGAGACTAGAGTGACACCCAGCCGTGTCCGTGCTGGGTGGTGGCTAATCGTGTTCCCGCTGCGGACTGCAGTTAAGGTTCCGGACTGGGCTAAATTACGTTCCACAATGAACAGTATAGAAAAGTTCACACAAATGCAAAAGTAGATAATATATAATAACCCCTCCTAAATGCATCACCTGCCATCCACGATGATCAACGCGCCCCCACCCCGGGCAGTTTTGTTTGATCCATGCCCTGACCTACCCCACCCCCAAGATTATTTTACGGCATCTCCCAGACCCCGCGAACCCCGGGGAGCCCCTCTCCCCGTTTGCCCAGGGCCTTTTTCGTTGTGATCGTAGTAATCTGCGAGCTCATCATATTTACGGCCTGCCAATGGGAACAGTGACAGGGATGGCGGTTTAACCAGCGACTCTGATTGACCTGCTGGGAGGTGGGGAGAGGGAGAGGGGGGCACAGGGGTGCAAAAGGCTCGTCTCCCACACAGTAAGATACCCTAAGATGCCCTAGGCAACGCGGAGGAACGGACGAACGGACAGACCACACAGAGCACGTGTCCCATAGGAATAAGGTGGCAAGCAGGATAAAGCACTTCCACCGGGACACAGAAGGGGACGTGAGAGGGGACGGGGGCTGCTGGGTTTTACTTTGCATGATGTACATGTTACTTTGACAAAGAAAAAAATTAAAGTGTTGGAGAATCGACGATCGCTATGCTCAGCCCTATTGGTTGTGCAGTAGTGTTAGGTTACACCGCTTTTATTTCATTAAAAACATTTTTTAAAAAATGTATTTATGGGGTGGTGCCATAGTGTAGTGTTAGCACGTCTGCTTTACACACAGAAGGTCCTGGGTTCGCTCCCCAGTGGAGCCACCAACCATACTCTGGGTGGGAGGGGACGCCTCGCCTTCAGAGATCCAGTCCTTAAGGGGAGACAGCAACATCCGTAGGTCAGGGGTGGATGTGGGGAGGGGGGAATTAAAGAGGGGAAAAGAAGTATTTACATTGCTTTTATTTCTTAATTAAAATTAGTGCTTAAACTGCTGTTGTTAAAATTTTGCAAGCATTTCGTTCTACCTGAAGACGAACTATACAGTTTAAGCCGGGAAGCCGAGCTTGTCAACCGTCCCTCATCGAGAGTGAAGAACTGTGTCCTGCTGGCCTCTAAGGGTGATGGGGAAACCTGTTCAAACCATTCAGAGTCAAGTCCAAGGAGGGGCTCACGGAGCGGCCAGTGTGGGCCTCCTCGGCGTGCGACGCAGGTCTCCCCAATGCTAGAGCAGCCTCGCTCTGCAGCCTCCCCACCCGCGGAGCTCAGCTGGGATTCCTGGCCACACCCACCCCTAGGTGGGCAGAGCCATTTTCTGTCTTATTAGACTCCCCAGCACCCCGAAGTGCCTGGGTCCTCGGTGGGCCAGCGATTATTGAATCGCTTTTGAACAGAGCCCCTCCGCCCCTCCGCCATCTACATTTGGCGCTAGGTGTTGCTCGGCACGCGCGAGCTTGGTGAACTGTCCTAGGAGTCAAATCCGTTTTCATGCCAGAGGCATTCTGATTATTTTAAAACGTCTTCTACTTTCTTCCCAGTCAGCCTCTGCCCCCACCCCATGGCGTCACTGCAAATGGGTCTGAGACACCCCACCCCCACCCCAATCCCAGCCCGGGCCCTTGCTACAGGCTCAGTGTCCTTCGTGAGACCCTGGGAGTCCTCATCCCCCTGCAGGGCGGGTCCCTGGGGGCAGGGCCTGTTCTACTCCTCCTGACACTTCCAGGGCAGGGCAGGGCAAGGCAGGGCTTCTCCAGAAAGGATAGGGGTGTGCTGGGCTGGATGGTGGATCCATAGATATGACTGTGTCCAAACCCTAGACCCTGTGAATGTGACTTTATTTGGAAAATGGGTCTTCACAGGCACACTTGGGACGCAATCGGATTGCCGGGGCGGGCCAGTGACGTGTTCTTATGGGACAGAAGACACAGAGTAGAGGCCACGTGACGACACAGGCAGAGACTGGAGGGATGTGGCCACAGCCAAGGGTGGCAGCAACCACCAACAGCTGGAGAAGCAACCAGTGGACCCTGCCCAGAGCACCCGGAGGAACCAGCCCCGCCTCGTCCCACCAGGAAAGGGTGCGCAAGGTGTGGGGTGCACGAAGTGCTGGCCTCAAACGACAGGACTTGAACAGGTGCACCACTGAGTCAAGGACACAGAATAGCAAAATCACTGGCTGTTCATCTCACCAAGGAAGTAAGCGAAGGAAACCTAAGAAACGGAAGTGTCCGAGATATTTACAAACGGACGTCAAAGGACACAGGGATGACGGCCCCTTCCCGGCTCCCCGCCGAGACGAAGACTGGACTTAAGTAGCAAAAAGCCAAGAAAGAAACCCAAACCCCGCAATTACCTTAAAACGCATGATGTGAAACCTAAGGGTGGCAATTACGGGCTAAAAGTAGCCCTCACAAAGTTTTGAACAACGGGAAGATAACCTTTCACCTGACCACACCTGGGCTGTGGAATGACTCCCGCCCCTCCCCCACTTCAGGCGAGCCCTGGGACATGTGACAAGCAGACCTAAGACGCAGGGACCTCTAACGGGAGTCCTTAGGAAGGCACATCTCCGGAACCGTGTGGCTTTCTTTGGGCAGTGCTCGACTGACTTTTTTAAAGGCATAAATCAAGTTTTAATGAGACACCTGCACGTTAACGACTCAATGATGACTTGGTTTCCAGAAGCCTTAAGATACCCAAAGCTCGCTTGGCTTCGGTCAGGAAGGGTAACTGTTAGATGACAAGGCAAGGCTGCAGCACATCGTTTGAAATCTCATGCTCACGTGAACCCCAAGAAGCAGGAAACAGAAAACAGACAGCTTGGACGAGCTGGAAGACTGGCCGGGGCAGGTTCTGAACAGGAAACAGCTAAAAGCCAAGCCCTCACAAGGCAGGGCCGGACGAGTCCGCGGGGAGAAAACATGTCGCCCACTCAGGCAGCCCTGGGGCGTAGACAGGGACATGACAGTCTAGGTGACTGTAGCAGTGCCCACCCAACACCCCACCGCCGCCCCGGAGGGGGTGTCAGCCATGGGCTTTGTGCGTCCCAGGCCCGTGACGCCTCGGGGAGGGAGGGAGGGAGGGAAACACTACCGGTCGGTAAGGCGCTGGAGGTACTGCCTGCAGTGGCCACTAGTGAGCCACCACCCACTAGGGCCCAGCTCCCCGCGGGTTTGTGGGCCCTGCCCGCCTGCCGGAGCCACTTGGCATGTCCCCTCCCCTCTGCCCCACTGGACTGCTGACTCAGGGCTGGTTCTAGTTCCCAGAGAAGCAGGCCCCATGGTTCCCAGGGACCACGAAGACGGAAGGGCAGCCCGGCTGCCACACTGTGATCACGTGGGAAGAGCAGGAGGAAGCGCAGGCACGTCCTCTCCGTCCCCACCCCCACCTCGGCTGTCTCCAGCAGGGCCTGCCCTAGCCGGGACTGGCTCCGTGAGCCCACACGTTCCCAGTTCACTTGTCGGTCCGCCTGTCTCCTGTGCCCTGGTTCTTCGGGACCCGGTTCCCCTTAGGGGCAGATCAGTGCCTGGGCCTCCAGGGGCGTGGGCAGGACTGCCCGGCCCCCCGGCCATCAGCAGACCTCTGTAGGATTTCGGCCCGGGACGACACTCGGCCGGGACAAGCGCTGAGGCAGCCGCAGCCCACCCGTACTCACGGCTTATTCTCGTACTCTCTGTTGGCAGTGCGAAATGCTTCAGTACTTTATTGAAAGAAAGCAATAAATAACACTGTGATAAAAAGAGTTCAAAAGTAGACTGTACATACTTTGTTACATAATCAGAAAGTTCACAAAAGATTAATAGAAAACAACTGTGAATTGTACAAGTAAATCAAAAGCAGAAACCCACGTAAGAAGACACGTCGGCTGTCTGTGCCTCGGCTGCATAATAAATAACGCACCGTGACCCGAACCCATTTCCTGCTGGCTCTGTAATAGCCACTTGCAAAGGAAAGCTACACTGGCTACTCCGACAATCCCAAATGGCTCATCATCAACATCTAAAAATGTACCATGAGGTCCATTCTTTAGACATGTTTACAGACAAATGTAAAAAGGTGATTTACGTAAGAAAAATAAGGCCTTTATTAGAGCTGGCAACAGCATCCTCAGGACCCTGCGCCGTGTCCCCGCGTGGCGAGTGGGTGCCTTCCTCTGCTTCCAGGGGTGGGGGCGGCTGGGCCCCACTCCACCGAGCTCTCTCCGCCTGCCGAGGGCCATCCCCAGCCCACGGCCTCTGCGACAGGCCACCCGAGTCCAGAGAGAGGTGAGGAGGACGCCGGGCGGCCCAGGCGGGTTCGCAGTGTCTGAGAACAACTTCCAGTCCCAGTTGGTGGGAAGCTTATCTCGAACACCGAACATCTCATCTGTTCACACTGCAGAATCAAGCATTTTTTGCTAGAAAAAGAGTAAGGTCAGTCATTAAGATGCAACAATAATTACTCGAAATTAGGTCTGCTTGTTTCGAAATGATTGCTGTGTAGCGAGGATACGTTCGTAAGGGATAATGCACGGTATAGTGATGATTTTACAAACGCAGTAAAATCCTTTTCTGTCATGGTTTATTATTAAAAAATTAAACAATGATAATTACAATAAATGCATAATTTACAAAAGCCCTACATTTCTTCATAGAATTTATACATACAAGCATTACAGTACATTCATTTGAAAGACTAAAATTAGATATAAGAACATGAATAGATTTGAAAGGATATTTATAGCCTGGATATACATGAAAAAGTAAGTAACTCTATAAATGAAGGCATAAGTTTACATAAATATAAGAAACATTAAATTCTAAAATATTTTCTCTATGGTATTCATGAATTTTTCACTAATTAAAAACTCTGTAATAAAATATCTCAGGTTCATATAACAAGTATTAACAGGTTAGAGTCCACTGAATGCTAAAATGCAGTCGTTGCTGGGTCCCAGGCGTCGCGGGTCACCTGTAGAAGTAGTGTGGGTAAACTGGAAAATAAACAGACAGAAGGTCAGTCCGGAGACCTCGCAGGACAGAGAGCTGCCGGCTCCCGTGGGAGCCCAGCCCACTCAGCTCCCAGGCCACCCCCCACCCCGCTTTCTGGGCTTAGCTGCTTTGAGAATTCAGATAAAGCATCAAGGACTATGCATCTCAGTAGAGGATTCCTTGACTGACTTCATTTTGGCTTACGCCTAAAAATTACCAATTAAGAAAAAGTGACGAGACCAATCAAATGTTCTGACTGCGCGGCGGAAACAGAACCAAGTGGAACCGCGCTCCTGTCTGCGGCCCTCGGAGCAGGGAGCGGGGTGGGGCCCCCTGCGGCCGCGCCCTGCACCCCGCAGCTCCTGGCCAGGGAGGGTCCCTCAGGAACTGACCCCTGTGAGGGCAACACACTTTCGTTTTTAGAAATCAACGTCTAAGCTGAAAGGCTGTGGGTGTCACACAACAGTACGGCCCCGTGGAACTCAGTACTTTGGGGCTTCTCATTCGAGAATGCGCGTGCGTGACACAGCCAGCAGCACTGGCGACTCGGGAACTACACGGGTGCCCGCACAAGTGCTGAAGCGGAAAGGACCGTGTGCCGGGCGCCCGTCACCACGGGCAGCAGCCAAGGGCCGAGGCTCCGCTCTCCTGCCTCCCCACCCCCAAAAAGCTATCAGCAGACACTTAAAATACGGCAGCAGTTTTAGGTTTAAGGACAAAATGAAAACACATTTTTTCCCCCATAAAAAAGCGAGGGCACGTCAATCCCTCCGTGGTCGACTGTCGGCGTTGGGGACACCAGGACCGCCTGCACAGGTGCAGAGGGCTCATGCGTCCGCTCGGCAAGCTCCGGGCCGGCGGGCTGGGCTGCGCGCTACTCACCGCAGGCGCCTTAGCAGGAGTAAGTCCTGACCGCGGCGGGGTCCAGCCTCTGCGCTGCCGACACACTGCCTGCTCCGACGACCACGAGAAGCATGCAAACACAGCGTGCGGTTAGTCTCAAACGCCACAGAGGCACAGGTACAGGCAGTTTCACACCTACACAGCACTGAGGGGCCCAAGGGAAACTTCTAGTGGGAGTGGACGAGCCAGAGAAAGAGACTGTGTCACCAAGTGTCTCTTCATCTCCCAAGCGGCCCTGGGAGTTACTGTTGCCAATTCCAAAACAGCCAACAGCGCCATCGGATGACACAAAGACAAGTCCGTGATGTGCATTCGTGCGCACGACAACCGTTTACCGCGGTAACTCCGTTTCTCCTTAAAGTCTAGATTACATAGAGCCACTGGACGTCCCTTTCAGCCCTACATGTCATCTGTGACAATGGTCGGACGTGGGAACCCAGCGGCGAGGTGAGCCGGTGCCAGCCCGCTGCAGGGCGAGGGCCCAACGCACTGCGGGCGGCGCGCCGGGCCCCAGCAGCAGGGCTTCAGGGCCCGGCTCAAGGACAGCCACATAGCCAGGCAAACCGAAGCGCAGTCAGTCTCTGCAGGAAACAGCGCCGCCGAGGTGTGCGAGGTTTGCGAGGTTTGCGGTTAAGGAACACTGCGGGGCCCCAGAGACAGGCCCCGTCTCCCCGCGGATCGGATTAGGGAATCTTTCTAAACATCTGCAGCACACGCTCACTGTTCCTCAGCACGCACCTTCCGTGCGGCAGCGGGAAGTCATCTTCGCAGTGTTCTGCCACGGCCCGGGAAGGACGCTAACACGGCGGGCACCGCGCTCCTTCCCGACTCTGAGTGCCCAGGAGACCTGCAGCGAAGCCCCTCTCACTGCCTTATTTAAAAAGCCATCGAAACGATCCAGTGTACCAGGTTCATGCCTTAGTTACCACACGGGGTAAAAAGTCACCTTCCATATCACATGTTCCCTGTGCCTCTTTCTAGGATTATTTTTAATTTATCTAAACCCTAATGGCAATATTGCTGTTAACTTTTAACAGGAAAATGTGATTTCTAATGACAACGGAAATGAAGTATGAGAAAAATAAGGCACTCAGACTAGTCAATAAGCCGAAGGCCAAATTACACTGAAAAGCTATTGAAATTATCTGCGTGCTCCTTAAAAGAAAAACGCTACTTTTTAAAAAAGTTACTGGCTTTTCTCCACATTACACTTCTCCTTAAACTCTGGCAGCGAGATGTAGCTTTTCAATTAAAACGCTGCCTTGTAAACAAGCATCAAGTCTCCAGCTTAGTAGAAGCTTTATATAAATATCCTTTCCTCTAATTTTTACATAGACGAATGAGAGTAAAACTTATAAACCTGCTAATAACTAAAAAACAACAACAACAAAAACAACCCAGTAACAACTACATCAGCACAAAAAAGCCACTCACTTCAAGGAGAATGAAGTCAATTGTGACAGCTAACACTTCCGAGGATGTGTGACGTGCTAGACACTTGCCAAATGACAGCCTCATGGGAATCACTCCTTTAACCATCACAGCCAGCTGACGAGGGAGACGGGGAAGCTGAGGTGCAGGGCTCAGTCGCGCACCTCGAGTGGCAGACAGTCCGCACACCCGGCCAGCTCCTCACTAGCGCCCTCTCACGGCACGGTGGCCGGCAGGAGTGATGGGCGTGACCTGAGGTGGCAGCCGAGTGCCTGACAGGGCCGCAGCCTGCCCTCGCTACCTGCTCCCCTCCATCCTGTTCCAGCGAGTGATGACACGGGCAGATCACAGTGGGGACAGAGGAACAGAGGAAGGACAGCCTCGCAGAGGTGGAAGGTGTCCTGTCGTTTAAAACAGACTAGACTCAGCCATTTCCCGGTGTGGACAGAGGTCGGGGAGTAAGGGACGCGACGTGAGAGCCACTACACTGTCACTGGGGAAGAGCGCCGAGTGCGCCCGGCACACGCACGCCTCCGCCGGGACAGCTGTCACGCTCAGAACACACGGTGCTCAGCTCCAGGAGAAGAGGAATACTCCACCAGACGAGAACTTTTAAAAAATCTGTATTATGGTTAAACTTTCATAAACAGATGTTAGGATTAATTTTAAAACATTTAAACCTGGACATGCAACAGTCGTCCAAACGCCTGGTAACACTTTAGAGGCCACGCCAGGTCAGTAGCCACGTGCCGGCCCAACGGGGGCCGGGCTGGCGCTGGGCGTCACGTACCGTCCAGCTGCATCTTCTTCGGCTGCATAGAGGGCGAGGACAGAGAGGAGGTGACCCGGAAGTTTGCAGGGAGAGTCTCTGCTGACCCGGCGGCTAAGCCACGGACATCCTTGGGTCTAAACTTTTTTCTCCAAGAAGGTGCTCTCCTAAAGCTCTTATCATCATCCTGGTAAATTAGACAGAAAATAAAACTGATTTTGAAATACGAGGCAAAAATAGAAAGTCACCAGCGCTTTAAAGTGAGCGCTGGACTTGTTACTGCATTTTTGTTCACACGCACCCGGCCCCATTCTGGACAACTCTGAGTTACTGACCGAACTAGGAACTTCTGGGAGTGGAAGGGGGCACGGTGACACGTACGCTGGGACCCTAACTGGGCAAAAATCTGGGTGGTCCCGGGCCACCTGGGTGCATGACCCTATCGCTACGTTTCAGTTCTCATCTTGCAGAAGTCACTTTCTTATAGAATACGGTTTTTACTGGGGCTGAAAAACTTTAGGCCGTAAATTACTCTGTCTCCCGCTGGGGTAAAGTCAGCAGGTGCTTCTTTAGGTGTCCTATTCTCTTTGTCAAAGTCAACTTTTTGCAGGATCCAATGAAGAGAATAACAAATAGCGTGTGGGAATAAGTGTGTCATGGTTGGTTGGTTATTTATTTAAGCCTACAGCACCTGGTCTTCCTAGCTGGTCTCCTATCCAAGTACTAACCAGGCCCGACCCTGCTTAGCTTCCAAGATCAGGCGGGATCAGGCTGGTTCGGGGTGGCGTGGCCGTATACCATGGACCGTGGCTCCACTGGGGCACGAACCCAGACCCTTCTGGATGTAAAGCAAATGTGCTCACCGCTGCACTATGGGACCACGTGCAATGCGTCGTGGTTTTGTCGAGAGGAAGGTAACGTGCTGTGCTGTCGAGTATACTCCTGAAACATTCCCCCAAAGCACGGGGCTCCGGATTGAGGTAAGACATCCAGGTGTCCCCAAAACACAACTTACAAAGAGACTCCATTCCCAGGCCACAAACAATGTTTTATGATGTGAGAAACATTTTGAGGGATATCAAAAGGTAAGTAGCAAAAAAAATTTTAAAACCATCTTACTGAAACTATTAGTTTCTTGACAGCTCATTTATTAATAAAATTTCAAAAGCGAAACTTAACTCGTAGAGCAAAATTATCACCACGCTTAGGAGAGATGCTCTGATTAAATGGTTCATACAAGTACCATACACGCTTAATGTGAATTCAAAAACCATTAGGCTGGAAGCTTACGTCATCGCACCGCCTGTCGGTCCCCATGACCAGAAGGTTGTTGAACTCTCTTTCCAGCACGGCACGCGCCTGAAACAGGAACACAACGGCACCTGACGCTTCCGCCCATCGCATCTGAAGGACGTCAGCATTTCGCAAACTGCATTTTTTGTGTGTGGTTTTACTGGTATGCATTTATTTATCTATCTATCTATTTATTTACCTATTTCTACAACTGTTTTTTAAACTAAGACTGTGAAAAACCTGGAGCTAAGAGTGTCCCGAACAGTGTTCCCGCGACAGTGTTCTCAGTCGGGGTGTCAGAGCGAAGCCCATGCATGGGCTTCTGGGAAGAGGGACCCACGGTCTCTTGGAATTCTACTTGAAGTGTGCGGTGTGGGCTGGTGCAGTTGGGGGGTCGGGGTGCTGCTAAACGACAAACACTCTTCTGGAGAAGAATAACAAGCTTCTTGAGTCTCAAATGAGCCCAGGAATCAAGAAGAATTACGTAAGGCAATTACCCACAGAAATAAAATTAATAAAACCTCCATCTGGTATACCATAGACCAAAGGGAGGTCCCCAACCTTTTTGGGACCAGGGACCAGGGCTCTTATGAGAGTCTAACACCTGATGGTCCGAGGCTGGGCTGAGGCGGTGATGCTGGCGCTGGGCAGCGGCTGCAGATCCAAGTGAAGTTTTGCTCACCTGCCCGCCGCTCACCTCCTGCTGTGCAGCTCGATTCCTAACAGGCCACAGATCGGTACCGGACTGCGGCCAGGGATTGGGGGACCCTGCCTTAGAGTATTTCGATTTCCACGTAAGAACTAAATCTATATCAGTCTTGTGAGCAGGACTTGAATGAAGCGCCCTTATTTTGTTTACTGTGAGACTCGTGCCTGCAGCGGACACGGGAAGGCAGCGGTAGCGGAGAGGCAAGCGTTGCGGGTTCGAACCACTGCATCGCGGACTGGGCACGGAAGATGACCTGTCGTCTGAGCTCTTAAGTCTGTCTCCCTTCAAGTAACTAGCAGATGTCGACATAAGGAGAAGTGACTGGGCCCGTGGCCGAGGGGGGCCGGCTGGCCCGGGGTTACCTGTGTGTTCTGCGTGGGGATCTGTAATAGGAGCGCCAGTGTGCTGAAGTCGAAGGTCTCATCCAAGGCCACCAGAGCGCCATGCACCCCACTCTCCACGAGGTTATTTGCGTATTCTTTAAGACCGATCGACAGGGTCCAGCGAATCACGCGATCGTTGCTCCAAACGAGCACATCTGTGAGTGAACAAAGACGATGATAAAGTGGCTTCGGGACGCTGTCTCATCAGGCACACCCGGGGACACGGGAGAAGGGCTCCTGCTCGGACCCTGACCCTCCGGTGGCTGACGAGCTCCACGAGCGCTCGGGGCCAACAGACAGCGCTCGCTGCACCAGGACGTGGGTGCCTTGGCCCCTGCCCTGCCTCAGGAAGCTGCCATGCGCACTGAATGTCCAGAGACCAGAAACGACGCGAATCCAAGGATCACACCCAAAGGCAGAGGTGAGCTGAATGCCCCAGGTGCCAACACGCTTCATATACAGACTTCAGAAAACACGTACTACTTCCTTCCCATCGCGGGAGTTGGCACCCACTTGGACCCCTTGCCGAATCAACACAAACCTCTCATTTATAATGTTGAAGCCTTTTCTGTTGTTTCATTTTAAATAAAAAAGAAAGAAGCTTAGAGCCATCCTCCAGCATAGAGAGACTTTGAGAGAAGATCTCATATTATACGAAGCAATAAATTATAAAAGTCATTAATGGCCATTCTCGACTGTAAAAAGATTTAAAATGGATACATAAAATGAATGAGACAGATTTACGGATTTTACTCCCAATGCCCTCTTCAGGACGAAGGACACGCACAGCCCGGGGACCGCCGGCTAACGGCGTCCTCATGGCTCGCGTCGGCTCATCCCGGACCGGACCAGCCTCCCGCAGGGCCGTCTCCCAGCCGTGCTCTACGCTTTAGTTTCTCTCAGTAAGAACCAGAGGCAAAGGCAGCACCAACGGGGCTGCGGTGAGAATCAAGCAAATTAACCTGTGAAGGTTCTCAGCCTGTCACTGCTATGGTTAGCGGTTTCTTTATACCGTGCGGATTCGGGGAGATTTAATTTTGAGCGTAATTGCTAATGCCTCCTTTGAAAGCAAAGCGCCGTTCATGACCGTTCAGAGGCGCTGTGTGAGTGGCTCCCCGCCGGAGGGAGAAGAGGGTCCCCGTCTCCCGGCTGAACCCCACGGCCTGTCGCACCTCCCCGCCTGTTTTGTAGCTGAAATGCCTTTGCCCTCCTCCTGCTACGCGCGCCCACCCCATCTGCAAGGCCCGGCTGAGCGGCTAACCCTGGGAGAGGGACCGCCCTGTCCCGCCCCGTGCTCCCGGGGCCCTGGATGTGTGGCAGGCGGGCCCTCTGTCCGTGTGCCACAGCACGGCTGCATGAAAGGCCATGCGTGTCCTCGCACCTGAGACCTCTGAAGTCGCGGGAAACCGCTTTCCTCCAGACGGTCGACCTGCAGACCCACGGAAGGGAACAGGCGCAACGTCTCCGGCTATGGAGGGCCGTCTTCAAAGTGCTCACGTTCACGGACCCCGACCCCCACCCCGTAATGACGTCGAAATATTCTTCCATTAAAAAACTTCCCTGGTTTTTTTTTTTTAAAAAACAGAACATCGCTGAGGCTGCTAATACGCTGGGAAGCAGAACCATGCTCAGCCGAGTAAACACAATGTACTGGCCTTTGATTTCGTCCTGGCTCTCTTCCCTTTTTCTCTCCAGCTCTTTCCGGTCATAGTTTAACCTTCGCAGGCACATAATTCCACACTGGAAACTGTTTCTGGTTACAAAAAGAAAAAAAGGTCAGAGACAGCGATAGTCAGAAGTCCCTTAGCCGACCAGGAGGAGCACCTGCCGTCTCCCTACCTGTGGAAACTGTCCACCATCTTGAGCTGCCCCCGCAGGTCCTTCTTGGTCAGGTGGTCGAGCATCCGTGCGTCCACCAGGCACTCCATGAAGAGGCTGCGGTACTGCGGGAGGCCCAGGCTGGGCAGCCACTCGTTGCCGACCCACTCGTGGTTCATGTCCCCGTAGGCCAGCGTCTGCTTTCAGTGATGAAGCACGATCAGCCCAGGAGAAACTCATGGAAGGGGTCCCAAGAGCAGCTCGAATACGCTGTAAACTGGATTTCTCAGCTATTACGCACTCGCAAAGGCTACACTAACTGATGACAACACCGTTCTTTATCATTTTGAAATAATTTGCTCTCTTGTTAACTATCTTTTAAATCTGTTAGCGAAATTTTATACGGAAGGAATTATACTATGAGAAATCATGACTGTGTTTATAAACTGAACCTATTTACCAAACCACAATAAAACCATAACTGACTACATATTCTCTTCCTGAAATGGTTTCATGTATAATCAAATAACACCAAAGAATGACCACGCCTCATGAACAAGTTTGAAGGATCAATCCGACTCTACTCATTAAAAATGCCGCTGGCCGGTTTTAGTTTTATTTTCCACACTTCATTTTCCAAAGTTCCTTAACCACACATCTGTTAATTTCAAAATCAGCTAAAGCGAATTAAAAAATAATTTTAAAAGAGGAGATAAACGAAGCAACCGATGGGGCTGAAAGGAAGAGCAGACAGATGCGGGAGGCTAGCCCGAGGACCTCGACCCTCCTCCCTCAGAAAGTCAAGAATGGGTCGAACGAGGAAGCCAAGGGGGCCACGTCAGGAGGGGTGGAGGCCCCGAACGACACTGCCAGCCGACCGGACTGGCTGGCATCCGCAGAACACCGCCCGCCCACCTCAGCGGGACACACTCTGCTCGAGTGCACGCGGCAGACACGTCTCAGCAAACAAAGAGAGACTGAAATCATACAAATCATGTTTCTCTTACCGTGAAAGAATTCAATTAGCAATCGACAGTGAAAAGCTACCTAGAAAACGCTTCAGGGTTTGGAAATGAGCGTACGTCTGCTGACCCACGCGTCAGAGAAGAGATTACAGGGTAAACGAGAACATACTTTGAACTGGAAGAGAATGAACGATATATTCAAAAATCGTGGGACACGCTGAAGCAGCGCCTGAGAGAAATTGACAGTTGTCGAGAATTAAACGCTTACGTTTTAAATGAAGAAAGGTCACGAATCTATAATCCATGATTCTACCTTAAAAAACTCGAACAAATAAAATCCATAGCAAGGACGAGGAAGAAAATAAAAGAGCAGAAACCGATTAAACAAAGCAGAAAAATAATAAAAAATAAAACGACGAAACTAAAATCTAGTTTTTCGTAACTATCCATAAACTCGATTAAACCCTCACTAGTGATCCAAAAAGAAAGAGAAGACGTTACCGATATCAAGAATCAAAGAGTCTACGGCCACACCACCCTGAACAAGCCGGATCCCATCTGATCTCGGAAGCTAAGCAGGGTCGGACCTGGTTAGTACTTGGAAGGGAGACCACCTAGGAAGACCAGGTGCTGGAGGCGTAAAAAATAAAAAAAATAAGGGACTGTAAGGTGACAAGGTCCTTACCACCAAGGGTTGCCTCGTCTAAAAAATAAATGAATGCATGAATGAATGAATGAATGAATAAATAAAAATCAAAGAGACGATGTGCGCACAGATCCTAGAGGCACTGAGGAGAGTAAGGGGAAACTATGAACGACTTGAAGCAACTCAGATGAAACTGGCAAATTCCTTGAAAGACATAATCTACGAAAGCCACTCAGTAAGAAACCGATGACCTGTATCCATTAGAACTCAAATTTATAAATCTCACACGCAAAATCTCTACCCTAAATGGCTTCACTAGTGAATCCTACTAAACATTCACGGGAAAAAGAAAAGAGGCAATTCCACACATAATATCCCAAAAAAGTGAAGAAGGGTCTGCCTCGCTTTACAAGGGCAGCATGATCCTGGTACCAAATGGGACAGACGGATTACGAAGAACCTGTGGACACTATCCCTCCTAGACGCAGACGCAAAATTCCTCACGGAACTTCAGCAAACCGAACCAACAATACATTCAAAGAACGAGACGCTATGACAAGTGGAGCTCCCCTCAGGGACGGAGAGTGGCTCGACATCTGGCAAAACGACGACATTCACCATGTCGATGGACTGAAAAAAACAAACCACATCATCTCAAAAGATGGCGGGAAGGCATCTGACAAAATTCACCATTCATTCATGGAAAGCTCAGCATGCTGGGAATGGAAGAAACCTGCCTCGAGCTGGTAAAGGGCGCCCTCAAAGAACCTAGCGCTGACTTCGTCCTTAGCGGTGAAAGGCTGAATGCTCCTCCCCAAGATCAGGACAGAGCACGGTTGTGCGCTCGGACCCCTTTACATAAGCACTGTGCTGGAACTCCCAGCCACCACCCTAAAGCAAAAAAAGACACGAAACACACACGGACCGGTAAAGAAAAGAGCCCTCTTTATTTGCAGATGACCTGATTATCGACGGAGAAACAATGTATAGAAGCCAGCTGTCGGAACTAACGTGCATTTCAATCAAGTTGCAGAATACGAGGTCAATATACAAAAGTGAACCATATTTCCAAATACTGGAAATTGAAAATTTAAAAATACCCTTTACGATGTCATCGAAACCTGTGACATCCTCAGGGATGAATCTGGCAGGATACACACAAGCTTTCCACAACAAAAAAGAAACAAGCACGGTGCGTGTGTCCACACACACATCGAAGGACAGCACTGACGACCTAAGGTCCACAGGGCGAAGCCACAGTTGCGGGAACGCTGTGAGTCCCGGAGTCCCTGGGCACGGTGGCTCTCCACGACCACCGCGTTCTGTCTCGAAAACGTGGCCTCTAATCGGATTTATTATTTATACCAACCAAGCTGGAAGGGATGACTCAGACTCCAACAAGGATGCTCAAACTCTCATAGAAAAACAGTTGCACTATTTGCTCGAAACCTAAGCGAGGGACACTCAAACCTTTTACATCGTCACAGTACGACGGTTTCACTCTCTCAGGCTTTGCTCTCATCTCGTAGGCCCGACTTCTGCAGCGCGAGTACGTGGTATTGCGTTCTTGCTGGCCGATTACGTATTCTTAAACGGACGCGAAATGCAAAGAAATCGCTAAATAGAAAATCCCATGGGAGAAGGGCCCTCCTCCTTTGCCACTCACTCCGTACTCTATTCATACTGCTTCTGTGGTCAGGAATGTGAGCCCCTGGGGAGACCAGGCTGCCGACAGCCTTCTGAAAAAGCAGGTGACAGGGCTCTCTGCGGTGAGAGAACATCTGCATTATGAGAGACCCACCGCACAGGGTCTATTTTTCATCGTTGAAAGGATCGGAAATGCGATTCGGTTTTCTCAACTCTGCAAAACGTGAGGGGTGCTGTGCCGGCGGGGGCTGTGGCCATGCTGGTCGGAACCGAGCTTCTGGCGAGCAGCACAGCCCTGCAGAGACGGCGTGCTGAGAGGGCGCCATGGCTCTGAACACTGCCGACGCGCTGTCCCCCCGAGTGCCCGAGGCCATCGCGCACCCCCCGGGGTTAGGAGCTGGCGTCCGTGCTGCAGGGAGGCAGGTGCACCAAGTCCTGGGCCTGGCGGCGCCTGGCAGCCTCACCGACACCGGGAAGCTCGTCGTCTTCCTCTCGCCCAGCAGAGGGAACGGGGCGCGAGCGGCCCTTGCTCACGCCGAAGACCGACCGTTGCGAATCCGGGCACGGTCGGCACGGCTCGTCCTCGCTTACACTTCCACTGCCAAGAGCAAATGTTCAGCGTTTTAAACGTACGCTTCGGGCCCCCGATGCAGCGGATTTCACGTTCAGGTACTGACGCAGCTCTGCTTCTTAGCGAGCGTCCTGACATCTAAGTGATTACGAAATGCACCTTTAAAGTCACGCGTGGTCATCACTGACTTTGTAAAGGGATACCTGACCAGGCTGAATAATTAATGGGGACATTTATCTGGAGTTGTGCCCCACAGAACCGGGGTGGGGGTGCTCAGAGAATCACATTACAGTTCCTGGCCCCTTGTGTTTACAAAATGACAGGACCGGCTGGACTTCAGGAGCACAAGCAGGGGACAGGCATTCCACCCGTCAGCTGGTGACCAGGAAAACTTTTTATCTAAAACTGTTTCCATTTTTTTCAGATATACAACTAATCTTGAGTCCTGCACATAATGCCGTTCAGGAGAGCCTCAGATGCCACCCTGCCACACCCTGAAGCGTTCTGTGTCGCTGACGTGGACAGCACGTCACACAGCAATGCTGCTTTCAGTCGGACTGGAAGCACGGTGCAGGGCAGTCATGACAAGGCTGTCCGTGAGACGAACGACCAGGGAGCTGGAAATCCGGAAGTGCAGGACGCGGAAGAGGCTTCATCCCTGAGAATTCCCGGCGGGCCACTGAGAACAGTGCTTCGCAAAACGGAGACTCGGAGGCGAGTATCTACACCTGCTCTTGGGTCGGAACTTTCTCAGAACAGAGCTTTCCCATCAGCAGATCTTGTAACTCAAGTGACCCCACTAGGGACTGACAGGCAGACTCTCAGGAGCTACCAAGGCCACAGGCCTCTGTACAAAAGACCGCAGGTCGCACAAAGCAATCCGTTCATCGGAATCAACGAGCATGGCTCCATGTGAGAAAAGCTGAGGAACGTTCAAAATTGTCCATGAGACGCGCTCTTGGTGCCTGCTAATCCTGTGCTCTCTGACTAATGCTTTCAAATCGTTAACGGCATTCTGAACAAGGTGTTAGAAATACCGAGAAAAGGAAATTCCAAGCTTCCACCCTCCAGCTCTTTGCTGTGTACATACAGTGAGGAGTAGGTTACAGAGAGCGTCCAACCTGAGCCCAGCTCCCCTCCGCGTCCTCCTGACGTCGGCGACGGTTAGGGATGCAAAAGAACAGCGCTGTTAGTGAGGCGGGCGGGGCGGCCGGGCCGGCCCTGTGCGGAGCGACCCGGTGACAGGTTCAAAAGTCAAAAGCGTCATGCAGAACTCGTGCAGAACCAGTAACTCCGACTTCTCATGCAAGGAGCCGACTTCCCACGGCAAGCACACCCATAAAAGGAGAAGACCAGGGTCGACCACCAAAATGGGGTGCTAAGTTGAGGTCTCCCGGGGGGGGCGGGGGGGG